TATCCATATTCCACTTTTTGATTATATTATACAATTAAAAATATAAAAGTATTTAATTATTTAATAAGAAAAGCAATAATTATAGTATATAAATCAAGAACCAAATTTGAGCTTTATATTCTATTAAAAATCTTGTATTTTACAATAATTAACATATTATTATGGCATTTAATAGTTTAATTAAATTATGAAATTTTTACTAATTTCAGCAAATTGTTTTTATTCAAATAATAAGTTATATATACTACATATATATATCAAAATTTTGTATTTTATGATGATTATTTTATAGTGTGTAGATTATTCATTCTGAACTATATATATATACACATAGATATATTTAAAAATACATAAACTTGCTTAATTTATAAATGAATTTTGAAAGTATAATTTATAAATTTCAAAAATAACAAGCAAAAAATTAATGTATTGAATAGTATATTTATTATTTCTGTTAGAGAATGTATAGGAATTGATGAAAGTAAATAATGAACATGACATGGACCAATTAAGAATTTGAATGTATATATAGATAATGTAAACTAAAAATGGAACTTTGTATTTTTCTGCTTAGTTTTCATAAGATTTTTATCATAAAGAATATGAATGCCATATTGCCAGATGTTTGATTTGTTGTCATTTCAATTTTTCTCGATTATTATAATATACATATCCATTATTACAAGATTAAAACTTCATTTATACAATCAACATTATAATTTATATAAAAAATTTGAATAAAATAAAATAAAATTTTAATTTGTAACAACACCAACAACAACAACATATAGATTCTGTTCATCAATTGTCTCTATAACTAATTTATTTCTATTCAAAATTTAATATAAATTTAAAATGTCATTTTCAATTTTTTCTTTTACATAAACTCTCTTCTGATAAAAAAATTTTGTTTCAAACTATAATTACTGAAAATAAATTTATTTCTCTTGAGCTTTTTTCATTATGCTGGTTAAAATTTTTCAATTATAATTTGCAACACACATATTTTTTATTAAATTTTCATTATGTTATTGTTTCAAGATATTTCTTCATTTGAATTATTTAATAAATTAAAACAAAAAACAACTTAATAGTAAATAGTGATAAATAATTTTCTATTCACATAAAAATTTTATTTAAAATTTAATAATATAAATCTTCACTTTCATAATTTTGATCAAGTAATTCACATTTATACAAATAAAATTTTTCTTAAAAGAACATCATTCAAAACAACTCTTATTCAATTTTAATTTTTAAACAAAAATATAAAATAAACTGCATTCCCATCCACTCTAAATCTATCAGTATAATACTAAATTTAAAAATTAATAATCACTGCACTTAATATAATTATAACACATGAAATAATGTATTGCTTTTCTATTATATACAGATACAATCACTTTATGTAAATTCATTAAAACTTAAATATTTTAAAAAATAATTCAAAAGTTAAAAAATAAAAAAAAATTATATGTAAAAAATTGAATGTATATTATTGTGACATTGTTAAAATGCTGGGCTGCAATTTTTAATCATCTTTTAATTTAAAAAAAAAATTACATGTCTTCCAGTCCAGACCAGAAGTTCTTATACAGTTAATCAGGGCCTTTGGCCCCTAAACTTTCCATATCTGGTCTCAATTTTCATCTAACTAACTCCATTCCTGAGATTAATGAAGGATGGACAGATGACAGTGAGAATGTATAGGTTTGCAATCAGAAAATTGCAACCCAATGATAAGGTTTGTCAAACAGTGTGTCCACACTATATGAATTTAACTGGTATTAACTATCTTCAAATTTCTACAAATTCATTACAATGGTTGTCAGATTATAAAGCAAACAATGTTCTTGCAAAGAATTTTGTTTACAAATTTATTTACAGAACTGTCTTCAAAAACATTGGGAAAAAAAAAGTAAACAAAGTGGAAAAGAATAAAAATGTGAAAGTCTCATTTTCCCATAATAATTTTAGTTCTGTATCATGATTTTTATGAACTGTTTAAATTTCTTATCTTTCTTTTCAGTTGATAAAAACATTATTAAATTATTTAACACAGATATCAAACAGATGCAAAGAAATATTGATAAAAATCATGAAAAGAACTTTTAAATTATCTAGGTAATTCTGGAACTACATTTCTCTAAAAATAGACTAAAATTTGAGAATTCTATCAATTTATCTATTGTTATTTACTGAAATATTTTTACAGTGCAATTTTATAGCAATTATAACATTAATCTTTTTTTATACCTCTCATTAAATATATAATTAGACTAATGAACAACAACACTAATAATAAATGATAATTCCTTTAGTTATTCTTCCAACTGAACGAATAGGCCAAAGTTTTCTTTATATTTCACTATTTCAAGCCATCAAACTTTAAGGGAAATAAATAAGAATTCTCATAGGGATATTTAAAAGCAGAACCAGTCCTACCGAAATTGAAAAATTTCTTAGGAGAAAATTAAGATATGTATCTCATGGATATCACATATTGTTACCATTACAAACAGTAAAAAATATATATATAAGTTCTGGAATTTGTCTCACAGTCATCTGTCTATATGTATGTAAAAGAGGAAATGTTTTCAAATGAAAAACAAATTATCAATTATATTCAAATGGATATCTGGAAGAAATTATAAAAATATAGATGATTAGCTCATCAATTGTTATTAGTGATATCATATTGGAAATTAAATTAAAGGTTATTTTGGATTTTAAGTTTAAATATTTTTATAGTGTTAATGAAAAAATATCTATTATTCAAAAACAAATATTGAATTTGAACTGATTAGATTAGTTTCTAAAATTCAGGAAAATGAAATTATGAGCATGTTGTCACAATATCATCAATTTTAAAATCATTTTTACCAGTAATAAAATGTTTATTAATAATTCCTAAAAATTTTTAAAGCACAATCTAATTATAGAAAAGCAACACCAATTTAAATTAATTCACATGATTCAAATTATATTTTTAATTTAAAATTTACATATTTATAATTCTACTTAAAAGTGAATAATTTGGAAAATGATTAAATGCTTTAAATACAAAAAAAATATACATTATTATATTAATTTTTTCAATAAGAAAGCACTATATTTAAGAATTAAAAAAAAAATGCTATTTATAGCAAAAAACATTTTAGCAGCTGTCTTATGATATAAAAGATCAGTAAATATTTGATTTTTTATATTTTTCTATTGTCTATGAATGATAAAGATTAGTATTTATAGAGGCAATATTTCTTAGCATCTTTTAAATTATAATTTTGTCAAAATTTGAGTTTTTTTACAACGAATCTGTTCAATTATTTTAATTATTTGGCTTTTTTACATAAATCTGAATATAAAGAACATAATTATTTATTTATTTCATCTACAGATATTATATACACATTTATTAAAAGCATTTAATATATTGTATATCTTGGTTTCATTGCAAGAGAGAAGACAGTATTTTATAAACTTAGGAAAAATTTCTAAGTATACATTTAAATAATTTTAGGACTATAGCAGAGAATGAAATAGAAGAAAAATTATACACTGCATTAACTGTACTTAATAAACAGAATTAATACTACCATATTGTAGATACAGTATTATTTAATTCTATCATTTGCAAGTGCAATAAAATCTTAGGAATAATGAAAAATTTTTTGGTCAAATTAATGTAATATAATTAATTTTTTTTATACTACATTAAACAATACACAGTACTTTTACAGTATAAGTTTTAATTTTAAATTAATAGTTAAAAATATATATATAAAGATCAATATATAATACAGAAATTTTTATGGTATATCTTTAATTTTAATATGATGTTTATAGATAAAGATTAATTTCATAAATATTTGTTCCTTTCATTACATAATATATTTATCAAAACTTTTCTATATAATTACAATATACAACATTCAACAACATTCAAGCTGTAGTAGTATATACCTGGATTTAGCAAACATTCTTCAGACCAGAGACTTTGTCTGCTTAACTCATCTATATGGTATCTGTCAAAAATTTGCCATATATTTCAAATACTCAGTGGTTTTTTAAATAATTGATATATAATTTTGTTTTGTAAACAAAATGAATAAAACAACAATAATCAGAAATAGAAAAATAATCACCAAAATTATGAGCTATTTTTATACAGTGATTAATATAATATTAAGAAATGTCATTTTGCACTAAATTAAATAATTATAATTCCATGTGCGCGAGTCATTGGGTCTTGTTCAACTGAATAAAATTTAATTCTGTGATTTGCCAAGTGTCTGTATGAATACAATAAATAATTTGTGTTTGAATTGAAAGAATTATAATTAATGATTTGCCAATTTAGAGAACTTTAGATGATCTGGAATGAAATTGTATTTAAAACTGCAACTGCTGAAAACTAGACAGATGACATTACTGGTTATGCTATCTAGGCTTCTAAAGTAGGATGTTTCCAATTTTCTTAACACACAATTCATTTGATTAATTTCTCTTTTGTTCTTCTTTCTTCAAAATTCTCTAAACTTCTTATTTGCTACCTTCCATTATGCAAGGGAGAAATGCTGGAGTCAATGTACCAATGTTTGATGTGAAGAATGTCAGAGTACTACCAAAAAATGGAACTGTGAAAGCTTTACTTAAGTTTAGCAACAAATCCTAAAAAACAATGGCACCTAAGACAAGTATGATATACATTTTTTAAACTGATGTATTGATATTCACATGTACACTGAAGGCAGTGTCTACTTTATCAAGATAAAAATACTTTAATAGTTCTTTTTTTATTCTGGGACCAAACATTTTGCCTGCTTAAGATAAGCATTTGCTAAATCCAGATCTCATGGTACTAATGCCTAACTAGCAATATTTTTGTCATATAATTTATTCACATAAAATGAGCCATGTGAAATTAATTTAAATTTTAAAATACATTAATAATATGGTAATTGAAAATAATTTTATTAAAAATTTAAAATACTTACATTGTAGTAATATTCCTTGCATGCGTTGCTGAAGCAATAATTTTGCTTTATTCAATTCTTCTTCATATTGAGATTTTTCATTCATAAGACGACGAACATGACTATAAGAACTTTGAATCATGGAATAAAAATGTCCAGCATTTCTTTTATTACATTCTCCTCGATCTAACCAAGTTATTAAAATTAATACTGCCTTTTGAAAGCTTTCTTCACCTATATAAATTTATTTTATAAAATCTTTAGTCATTAATTAACTTCCATACATACAACTATAAATTTTTCACTAATTCAAAAATTATAATTTATTTGATATTTTTATTACATACCTCTCAATTTATCAATTAATAATGAGGCTTCATGATCAGAATAATGAACTATAGGGGGAGGACTTGGTGGTTGAAGCCTTTCTTGTTCTAAACGTTCTCTGTGACGTAATTCTCTTTGAAATGCACGCTGATGACATTCCCATTCATACTGATCATCTCTTGCTTGTGCATAATCCACATGTAATCTTCCAGTATAAGCTGCTTCATCTTTATCTTCAATTTTTATGCGATAACCTTATATTTCAAAATAAAAAAAAAACCGTTTACATTTAATATATCGTGGTCTAAATGACATATTAACTATTTATATAAAAATATGTATATAAAATTTAGTTAAATATCATAAAATAATGGACTTTATATATACAGTATCAACAAAAGTCAAAATTAACCAAAAATTACTAAAAGTATTTAAGAATAAGTTATTTAATGTATAATAATGTAAGTAAACTAATTTGTTATTATGAATAGAATACAGGTGCTCCCCTACTTACAAACAATTTGTTCATATGTCTAAAATTTAAATTTCACATGGATTCTAAAGTTCTCTTACTGCTTGTGGGGTGATGTTGAAATCAGCCCACAATTTATTATTTATTACTGGTCTTTGACCAGTAATAAATAATAAATTTTAAAATAATTAATGAAGGGCTCATTTCTGTCGTGTATTGTCGTTTTTCATTTTTTGCACAAATTCTGAGGTTCCATTGCCACCATGAAATGACATTGAAGTTGATAATGTTAGAGTAATATATTTTTCACTATTGTTTGCAATTTTTATAAACTTTTATGATTAATGCTTAATAAAATACATTCAAAGTGTAAATACAGTTAAGCCTGTCTATCTTGAATCTCACAGGAACAAGAAAAAATTCAAGAAACACAAGTTTTGAGATAGAAGTTCCTATACAGTAAACAGTAATAGATTTAATTGGAAGTACAGTATTTTATTAATACAATAGCAAGTACAGTATATATCTGCATTAGGTATTAAAAAAAAACATTTTTGACATATCTTAAACAGTTTGTCAATAGTTTCTGATGAAATGAAATGAATTATCCAAATATGAAAACAAATTATTCCATAAAGTATTTGAACCATGTAACAATTTATTCCTAGTTCTCATTTTTATGACAGCTATAATTCTACATTTTTTACTATGAGAAATTTATAAATGAAATAAATTCTACATTTATAAATTTCTCATAATTATAAATATTAACAACAAACAAACTTCAGTCTTGCAATGTCTGATCAATTCATATAAATATGTTAGAATTCAACTGCCTTGAACTTGGACATTTCTCAAATAAAATCTTGAAATAAAATTTTGTAAGTCAGTTTTTGATTTACAAAAATTTCAACTTACAATAAAACCATGGGAACTTCACCTGTTCATATTAGGGAAACATATGTATTATTATTTGACAACTTTGTGACTATTAATTAAATTTATTTAATTTAAGAATATCTATTTTATGAAAAAAATGGTTATGTAAGCTTAAAGTACTTAGGTTCAAAATCTCATCCCAAATCATTATTATATTTTAGAATCAACATAAATAGTTTCTTCTTCACCTAAAAAGTCACTAAATATTCATCATATATAATTGTTTTTAAAAAATACACAGAAGTAAGAATAGTCTGACAATTTTTTTGAATAAATTAAAAATGATTTAATTTATCAGATCTTTACCAAGAAATTTGTATAACTTATTAATTAAATAATTTAAAATATCTGCTAAAATTTTCAAGTTAAAAAAGCAATAAATAAGTAATTAATTTTCTTGTGTTTTATTGTTAATAATTATTGAAGATTTTCAACAAATTTATTACATAAATATAATATAAAATTTATGCTATAAGAAAGACATAAATTGATCAACTTTATGAAGTTGTTTATCATAGCTTATTTGATATTTTGTAATATTTTTGAATATTTTTACAAAATCAAAGAATATTATAATAATAAAGACAGTAATGGATCCAGAAGAAGGGAAAGACTAATATAAAAATTAAAAGTATTTCAATAATTAATGAGGGCCTTTTATTAACATGGTGCAGGATAACTGTATTGCAGATTGTCCAATAAATTATATTTACCATCATAAAAGTTTTCAAAAACAATGTTCTGATGTTTGAACAAATTTTGAACAAATAAATTTTAATCTTTTTGTATCAATAGGGTGGACTTAAGCACTTGTAATGTCCTGGGTCTGCCCCAGAATAAAGGAAAATATCAGATTATAGTCTTTAAAGAGAGAATGAAAAGTGAACCCATTGAAATCAATGAAAAGGAAAGTTAATCCAAAATGTCTTTTTTTCTCTTCAAGTAATTAATGTCATTACTTTTTTAATTTATTGCTCTCATTATTTGATAATTAATGGATTTAAGAAATGCATTTACCCTCCTATTAGACTAAAACAGGAAGATACTAAAATCTGTAAGTTGATGCTATCAAATTAATTCTTAAATTATAGTTTTGTTATTATTACTTGTCTTTTACATTACTCTTATCTTTATTCCTTATCTAAAATATAATGCCTAAGCTCTATATGTATAAAAACAGTTATTTAATTTAAATTATATTATTTTAAAATGAATTTCATTTATTATGGGGCGCACTCTGATCGTAACAGCTGTTGGTGTGAATTTTTCTCCACTTCCATACTTTGTCTTTTTTTCATGAAATGAAGAATTTTGAATTATTTTTGACTCAAAGGAATAATATTAAGCTTCTTATTTTATTGTTATTGATTGCTGGAATAGAACCAAATCCCAGTCCCTTACAGAAAACTCCAACAAAGAGAAAAAGACCACTACTTACTCGTCAAAAATTGCTGACTAATAGTATCAAACCATTGGAACCAGATTCAAACCTTATCACTGAATATACTGAACCTAGAACAGCTGAATCATCATTTCAAACAGGTGAGCTAATTAATTTAACTTCCTCACAAGAACAATTACCTGCAGAACAAATAGACGTTTCAACAGCAGAATTATGGAATACGATAGTCAAACTGATAACATATAGTAATGATAAGCTGGTGAGTCAATTTTCACTTATAGGACAAGAAATTAATATAATTTCATTTATTACAAACAAAGCTAGAACAAAAATTGCATCACAGTCTATCAAAGTAAAAATATTCAGATAATTTAAATCAACAGATATCATCTACATAAAAATTAATAGTGTTCAATTTATTATAGAATTATGATTGATTACTTTTTAAATAAAACAATTAATTTAAATAAAAAACTAACTTTAAAAACACAAAAGTTAAGCAAGCTAATAATATAATTCAACAATAAAAATGAAGGTTTTTCATTAAAATTACCAGAGAGAAAAATGGCATTGTCGATGTACATCTCATTTTCATAGCGTATATGACAAAAGTTCTTTTTACTCATTCTAATTGTTGTGATTTCTCCACACCTTTCAAAAACTTCTCTTATTATGCTTTCTGTAATATTTTCAGGCAATCCACCAACAAAAACAGTTCGGCAACCAGGTGGTCTTTCTCGTGTAGTAGGAGGTGGAGCAGCTAAAATAGTGAATAAATTAATTCTAAGTTTATAGTAAATACTTACAAATATAATATAATTTAGTTTAAAAAGTAAAAATTTATGTTTTCTTTTAAGAAACTAATTATTGATTATATCTTAGTTTATTTATACTGGATAATATAATGTAATAGTAAATAAATAATACAATATTAAATAAAAAAGTTCCCAATCTAAAGTTTGACACCTGAATAAATAAAATTAATCTAATAGGAAAAATATTACAAACAAAACAAAGCATTGTGTGTAAAGTGTAGTCCCAATATATGCATAACTCAATAAACAAATATACTTTTATAAGAATTCAATGTAAGAGCTTTCTTTTATACTTCCCAATTTGAGATGAAATATTCAATAAACAAGCAATGTCAATGTTTATGATAAAATTTTCTATACATGAGTGTAATGAGATTGAAATTCTCATATGCTGTAATTATATAGCTTGTAAATTCTGGTCTCATTTGCTTTGTTTCATTTGCCACACATTAATGGTAGTGCCCCTCATTCCAGCATGGCTGTGCACTTTAGTAAACTTTATTTCTACATTACAAACCCTTCTACTGTGAACCTAATTTTATTAACTAAAAGAATTTTAATTTGAATTCAAAAGGCAGACAGTATATTTCACAATTTTAAAAAATATATATAGAAGAAAACTAAAATGTCTTCAAGCTTGAAGACATCAACTTCACTTTATATTTCACAAATTTTTATAATTGTGAAATATACCATCTGCCTTTTTCATACAAATTATGTATATTTTTAATGGATTTCACTTATCTTCAGTGAACTTTTAACTGTTTTACATAATTGTGCAGAGGCATAGCCTCCAATAAAAGGTTGTCTCTAAAAAGGAAAGACTGTTTATTCCTGATGATTAAACAGAACAGAAGCTTGAACACATTTTAGTTTTCTTCTATATATTTTTTTAAAATTGTAAAAGCAATTTATTTACTCTATTACTTGTTTTCTGCTTTATTGTTTTAACTTTTTTCTCACCATTAAATAAAAAAAATACCTGGTAAATTATGTAATTGCTAATGTCATATTTATTTTTCTCATTTTAATTAGCTCCTTTTCTATCAACAAATAATCTAATTGACACTTTCATTTATTTTACTTCAATTAGTATCATTGATTGATAGACTTAAATAGCATTTTATTATTATTTGGGAAACATAAATAGGATGACTGGATTATGATGAAAATGAGATACAAATTTCAATCATAAGAATAATGAGATGTTTTTCAGAAAATGAAATATGCTAATACATTGAGATTTACAGTATTTGCATATACATAAGTGTTAATCACAAAAATAATGTTATGTAAAATAAAATCATCATCTTTATGATAAAAATAATTATTAGAATCTTGTTTGATCCTAATAATTCAGACAGGATCTATTAATTCATATGCCTCTGTGTCCTTATTATACAGTTTATTATGTAAGATGTCTACTAAAACTTATTATACCAGTGACATGGTTCTACAAATTTAAGAGAAGTAATCAGAAAAAACAGGTGAAAAATAAAGACTATTTTTTCTGATTACTTCTCTTAAATTTGCAGAACCATGTCACTGGTATAATAAGTCCTGTTAATAAAATAAGTCTGAGTAGACATCTTACATAATAGACAGGATCTATAATGATCAAATTAAATCATCATATAGTTAGTGTAGAAAAATGAATCTGTTTTTTTTTTTCCTATCAAAAAAGACAATCAAGTGACTAGCTAACTTTTAAATATTTCATGTTTAAAATAAAAGTTTATGTGAAATTAAACCTATATGTAATAATCAAAAATCCTCAAATCATAATCAGTTATAATAAAAAAAAAAAAAAAAAAAGGAAAGTCAATAACTTAAAATAGTTATTGAATTTACACACATTAACACAAATACATTCATAAGTAGTAGTATCATAGTTATGTTTCCATGTATTCAATGACTGTGCTGAGTTTTCAACTTTTTAAATAATTTTTTTAAATATATAGTTATTTTTTAATTTTTATTTTTCAAGGAAAGATGGGTTGATCTTTCCATCACCAAATTACTTATTTTCACATCTTTTAGTAATCTCCTCTCATATTTTTATTCCATCAATGCTCTATTTTAATCACTCTCTCATATGACTTACAGGATACTTTTATTATGTTTCTATAAAATTCCTAATAGTATACACCAGAGGTCACCAAACTACAGCGCTAGAGGTCAGTTCATCCAGCCACAAATGTGCCACACTGTGCCACAAATGAGCTAAAATATAATTATTTATATGGAAATATCATAGATTGTAGTTAAACTTACTATATAAATAAAAAATTAAAATAAGTATCTAAAATACCTAAATTGATCCAATCTGATTTTTGCATCTGACAGTAATATAATTTTTAGATAAATTAGTGAAATAAAAAATTTGACGACTTATTGCAACTTTGGATATCAGAGCACTTTTTGTATAAGTACATCCAATGAAGTTTCTAAGAAAAGCAATTAAGAGCTTGCTGCAGTGATCATGTTTGTGCATTGGTAAATAAATATGTTTGTTGTCTTTATTTTTTGTATATTCAATGTGCTATATTGAACAAAATGGTTATGCGGCCTGCTCTCGTCATTCTCTTTGTTATCTGGCCCACTGTGAAAAAAGTTTGGTGACCCCTGGTATACACTAACATGAATCACAAATTAGAAGGAATTGAAAATATTCTATTTAGCTTTGGAAGTTGGAAATGTAGCAGATGTATTAAAACATACACTGACTTGTAAATGGATATCAGATAAAGGCTTATTCCACTCAGTTTTCTGTTTTGATAATGAATTAATCACAAATACTTCATTTCAACAACTTTTATGTTGCCTGTTCTTACCTACTGTTATGTCTTTGGACAAATTCAAGTTTCCTTGAAAATGGAGAACTGTTGTTTAAAACTGTAAATAAATCTAATTGTAGGCATATAAATGTGTGTTTATTAATTTATTTAATAAGTAAATTAGTAAAAAATGTGTAAATAAATAATTTAGTGATGGAAAAATGCAATCCACCTTTCCTTCAAAAATAAAAATTAAAAAAATAATAATGAAATTAATAAAAAAATTCTTTTAAAAAATTTGAACGAAGAAAAAACTAGAATTTGAACCAAGCACAGTCATAGGTTACAGACTCTTAATGAAGACGATATACTAGTGATAATTTACAGGACTAATTACTGCACTTTAGCAGTTTTCTAAAATTCCACTGATACATGTTTTTGACCCAATAATGGGTCATCCTCTAGTATCAAAAGTCAAAAGTAAAAAACTCCACTTTTTTGACTTCTGACATCAAAACCAGATTAAAAACATTAGCATTCTTCTAAAATCCCAGTTAAAAGTTCACTAATTAATCCTACAGTGTTAGCTGAAGATCTCTAAACCACTCACTCATATGAGCATATTTGCATCATAGCATATACAATAAATCCATTAATTTAAAATTTGTTCCTTTTTGTCCTGAAACTGTTTAGGATCAAGGATTTTTGACTAGCCTATAAGTTTAATTTCACATAAGCTTTTATTTTATTTTAAACATGAAAGATTTAATAGTAATTTTATAAATGACTATTAAATATTAGTTAAATATGAAATAAAAGTTAGGTAGTCATTTGGTTGCATTTCCTTGTAAGTGATACTTATTTTGAAAAATGAATCTGTTTTTCAGAAAAACATATCTTGATATATTTGGAGGTGCAATTTCAATTGGTATTTTGGAGAAGTCCCCTTGTTACTTGCAGACATTTAATTAGTGAAGAAAAGGAAAAATCAAAGAGAAAATTATGATATGATCTTATATTATTGTAAATTCACAGAAAACTGTTACAATAAGTATGTCACAATTTTATGCAAGTGATGAATTTACAAAGATTTAGTAAAGTAACATTAATAAAAATTCAGATAAAATTACATTTTTATATGCATAAGAACTTTCTTTAACTATTATAATTAAATTAAAATAGGTAGTTTACAATTTTTATAATATAGAGAACTGACATTTTAGTTAATTTGCTTTATAAATTTATCTAAAACTATAGAACAACATTTGCTATAGTTTCATCTAAATTACATATTACATTTAATTTAAATTAATAATAAATTTACTTGGTTTTGGTGGATATAGAACACAGCTGGGCAAATGAATAATTTCTTTTATTGGTCTTGGAACTAATGATCCTGTACCCAATGGACCTGGATCTGAACAACCCATAAATCCAAACTGAAATATAAAAATGGAATTTAAAACTCATTCCAAAAGCTGTATAATCTCTAGATAAAGTTCAGAGTTCAGCGTTAATAAAGTTCCTCTATCACAAGTTCTTTCAATGAGTATATAATTGTTGTCCTCAGGCAAAATGAACAATTTAAAGAAAAGAACGTGGTTTGAAATTAAGAAATTTTGTTTTCCTTGGAATATTCTGAACGTTCTTTTCTTTAAATCGTTCATTTTGCCTGAGGACAATGATTATATATTCATTGAAAGTACTTGTGATAGAGGAACTTTATTAACGCTGAACTCAGTGAACTTCATCTATAGATTAAACTGAAATATAAATATATAATCAAGAACTATAAAATATACAATATAAAAATTAATTTACAAATTATATAAAATGATAATAAATTATAATAATAGATTTAAGCTATACAGTAGAGCCTCGATTATCCGACCCCCGATTAACCGCCACCTCGGTTAACCGACCATCCTAGTCGGCAAATTTCAAATGTCCGCTAGTGATGTGGTGCTACAATATTTGGCTATGTCTCGGCTACTTTAATATTATTTTTATGTGTTTTAGCTGGCAACACTCATTCGACCATGAAAGGGAGCCAGTATTTAAACAAGACTTAATTTTCTAATTTTTAACGATACAATAGCGACGATTATTATTTTAAAAAATTTTTGTTAGGCTTAACATAGATGAAAATTCAACGCGAAGTAGGTTAATAGCGATATACTAATATACTAATTACATGGGATATAATAATATACTACACTAATAATGGATTTTTTCATACTTTTCGGTTATCCGACTTTTCAATTATCCGACCAACCCCAGTCCCCAATTGGGTCGGATAATCGAGGCTCTACTGTAATTCTAAAATTATAATTATTGAATTCAAATCACTAACATGTTTATTTTTTTAATGTTTTTATATAATATAAAAGCATTATATTACAATAGTGTCCCTCTTTTCTGGTCTCACTTTAACAGGCCTCCATTTTAACCAGTCATATTTTCTACATTTTTTCCCATGAAGTGATTTCTGGTGTCAATTCTAGAAATGAGTACAGTGTACTATAATACTCTTATAATTCTCTTCACTTCAGTTAGTCTTTGTTAGCTATGTTGTTTGCATACATAGTCCCTATGTTTGAATCATAGTACATATTTCATCATTAATTTTTGTTTTTTAAAAAATATGTTTCATTTTGAACCTATCATTCTATAATGTTAGTTATGAAGTGATACAATCAAAAATGGAATACATTAACTATTGAAACAAAACTAAGTCTTGGAATGTATTGATAATGAAAAACCTGTAAAACATACATAATGAACTGGGTAACAGAAAAAATATGGTAAATAATTGTCAGAGAAACTGAAAATCCTTCAAGACTTTAGCAAGTAAACACAATCATAGAAAATGATCTCAAACAAGTACAGTATGAAGAAGCCAAAAAACATGAAGTCAATGATGCATTATGGACATGGTTTATGAAAGAATGACAGAAGAATACTGCTTATCAGGCCTTTTCCTTTAAAATTGCACAGCATGAAACTAACAGCATGGAAGAATTATTAGCCTGTGAGTGGGAACTTTCATAATGAAAAAAAAATGACAAAGTTCATTAGCTTGGAAACTTCAAAGAAATTGTCAGTAAATCAAGATGACGAAACTAATTTTCCCAAAATATTTTGGATATTCTACCAAAGAAAAATTATTATTCCAGATTAAGTCTAAAATTTGGATAAACAAGATTTTTTATTTTTCTCTCTTTTCACCATATGAATACCATGAAGGCCTTTTTAATGATATTCATCATGAGTTCAGCCAGACCTATACAATGGGATGGCTGGATGTTCAGGGACATGGTCCAACTTATCTGGGACAGACCATCCATGAAAATAACCTGTGCTGTGGTCCTCCAAGGTACAGATCATTCTCAATTAAGGTTCTACAGAATGGTAGGATAATGTCTTAACTATATTGGCTATCTGACAATTCATCAGATTAAACAGGCTTATATGATTTAATAATAATTTAATAAAGCAAGGATTGGAAAAAAGTCTGGGTAGCTTAACTGGAACAGGGATGTCGGTTCTTTAAAAGTTAAGTTATAGAATTTTGTGAAACCCACTCAATAGCCTAAGCTTTTAAACCCCCAGAACTCAATGACCTAAGCGTTTAAATCCCCTGACTTACAATGTAAACTTTTCAACCCCATAATCCAACCTTTTAAACTCTGTAGGTCCATAAATTATGCTGTTAAGCCCTTCAACTTCATAATTCAAGCATTCAAAATATGCTCTTTTAAAAAATATAGAAAAATTTTGATACTTTGGATTATGTAAGAGTTCAATTGGTCAACATCCAAGGAAAAAATTTGTTTTCATACAGAGAGCAAGTGCCTTGGCTTGCTTTGCATTAAATTATAAATAATTTTTTCAATATTCTGAGGTATGGAATTCCATACCTGCAAAAATGTGAGGTATGGAGTCTTCCATACCTTCCATAGTGGAAACAACACCCCCGACTGGCAACATGACCACATAGTAAGGAAAAGTTGCTGGTTTGAGTCCTACTTTGGGCAGATTCTTTTCCTCCAGAACCTTCTAAATCAATTATTAAAATATGAATTTATTTATAATTATTAAATTTAGCAAGAAATGACATCTAATACCTGCCTCTAATGCCAAATTACTTAGCATTTAATTAATAATAGTGGCAGTGATACAGTCCAATATAATTCAGCAATTGTTTGGCTTTAATATATAACTATTAGATTTGAATGTTTATATTTGATTCTTAAATATTTTGTAATGAAAAATTAATTAGCTACTTTAAACTTTAAAATATCATAGTCTTTTCTCATTAATTAATATATGACATGTATCTCAGTAATTTGTCAGTGAATGTAAATTTTTGAAATGCCTTCTGATTGGATAAACTTTATAAGTTTTTTCCCTATGTTACATTTAAGACAAATTTATTTTATTAGAATTTGCATATAGTTTGCAACAAAAATTATAGGTATATAGAGTAATGGCACCAGTAGTCAACCATTGAAAGCTGTGTTGGATTTTGGATTATTACAATATATAGTAACATGAAAAGTAAAATTTATATAAGAAAAAGTTTGTTCTACACTTGTCATGGAAAATAAAGCACTTTTTTTGATTTGACCTATTTTTACATTATGAAAAAAATTTAAATCACAGGGCTGTTCATCCAATAGTTGATCAAGGGTCTCATAATTGTTTATGGCGATCAACAACTGGGATTTCCTTCATCAAGAGCCTGACAAATGTGGCAACTGTAAAAGGATAAGCAAGCTCAATGATATGCATTTTGTGGAAACTATGCATCTGAAACATAGAGCCCTTGTTATCTTCTAAAGACTGAAAATGTCTCACTATATGATTGACTAGCAGAAAGAGTGTGGCACAATAATTTTTCCATCACTGTGAGTGAAACAACCTATTATTCTTACAAGTCATAGAAAAAAGTATTGTCTTATGATGCTTCCCTAATGAAGATAGCTTTCCTAAATCTTCTCTGATGGACTAATTATGCACAGATTTTGGCTTGCAGAGTCAATTACTAGAAGTGGTCAACAATAAGAGCCCCCCACTCAAGATATATGCAATACTTACTTGTCCAAATCCAGCCATCCCCATTACTCCAAGAAAATTTGGATCACCAGTTACTCCCATCATTGCAAAAGGATTTACAGTTGGATTAATTGTCCATTGAGATGGATTTAAACCAGGTAATACACCTGGTAAGGTGCCAGTATGTGGAACTATTGAAATATGTCCAGGAACTGCAGGTAATACATTTTCATTTAAAGTATTTATATTAGACAATGATGGTATTCCTAAAAATCAAAATAAATCATTTTACAGTTAATAAATATGAATCAAAGTAACTGTTTATTTTAATCTATAATTAAAAAATATGCATCTAAAATATACAATATAATATATAATATAAACTTAAATATAATTTATAATCATTTGAATCTTGTTAATTAGAAAAATTTAATTTTTACTTTACTTCTGTTTTTCATTCTATTTAAAAAAAAAAAAGTCTTTTAAACTTTAAAAACATATTCAAACAAACATACTTTTTTAAAAATAAATCTTTATAGATTGATAATAGCATTGAACATGTTTAAATTTCTTAAATATTTCAGCAAAAAAAGAAAAAAACAGGAAAAAACAAAGAGAAAAAAGTTTAATTTTAAAAAATATTTAGTAATAATAATTACTGGCATGACATTACTTATAAATTATATATGCAACATTTTATTACACTTACCATCATATTAAGTTACTTTTCAATGTTGCTTTATATAATGTATAGTACATGTAAAAGCAACTAAACAGATGTTTATCATTAAAGTTAGATGTTAATATTAGATGTCTTTAAATTGTTTTAGAGAATATTTTGAAAATAATCTTTTAATCATAACATAACAAAATTTATAAACAAGTTTTAATAGATTTGTGAGATAGCAAAAAGTCTTATATTTTAAATAATCTTTAATAATAACGTTTCGCGAATTACGCAACAATTGTTGTTCTTAGCTACCTGAGAAAGTCTCCCGTTACATTTTCTCGAAAGCAACATGACGCTTTCTCGTGAACTATTAACCTCTGCACGGCCGAAATCGTCCGTGAGTATCATCAGAGACGGCCGAAAAGAGTTAGTCGCTGCCTTAGTCCTCGGAGAGGAAAGCCGTCCCTTCAATTATCATCCATTAAGGAATCCGAATTAATCGCCATAGGATAAACTTGTCTGTGTGTGTGTGTGTGTGTTAGTGAATCGCCTGGATAACGAATCAGAAACCTTAAACCCATCGGAAGCTGTTATAATCCGAACAAGATCCGAACAAGACCCGAATCTATTAACAAAGGTATTTATCATCCCGCGAAGTGTATGTGCACTCTCTCTCTCCGCGAAAATTCTTCATCCAATAGATTTGTAAATAAACCCTTGTTAATTAAGTGTATCTGAGTCACTTCCAATGTTGTCTCTCGAATCGACATTAAGAATCCGTCTGACCACATACGGAACCGCTCGCGCGACGGCGTGACGTAATCGCCGTCTCGGTTTCCGTGTTTCGAGAAACACGGTGGTGTCAATCCTGACAGGGTACCAAAGAGGTGCCGACCCGAAAGGTCACAGATTTTACTTTTTTTTTATTAGTTATCTCAATGAATAGTTTAATTCAGGTGGCCAAAATATTTTTATTTTATAGAAATATTTTTGGTTATAATCTGTCTTTTGCTTACAGAGAATAAAATAATAGAATATAACAGAATAGAATGAATTCGAATAATTTACCAAACAAAAATTCTTTAGAACAGATTTTATTACATAAGTATATAATAAAATTTAGTAGAAATTTATAAAAATATACAATAAAAAAAGTATTCTAAAATAGGCTAATATAAAATAAAAGACTATTTCTGGCATACATTTGTAAAATAATGTTTTTTTTTTAACTGTTATTTTAAAATAGTGAAACTTACTAAAATTAACAATAAATATTTAATTAAAAACTTTAAATTATTAAATAAATAAAACAAACCTTTATCCCTATCTTTTTCTCTAGAGTTGCGATCTCTTTCTCTTTCTCTTGTCCGCTTGTCTCTTCCTTCTCTCATGCGTTCCCTACTTCTTTCTCTATCACATCCACGATCTTGTTCTTTATCATGTGACCATCTTTCTTCTTCATTCTGCTGAGAAGTGGATTCTGTAAAATAAAATATTTTAAATTAATATATTAATTAAATTTGTACAACTTAATTTTTTAAATTCCTGTTACCTTGAGTATCCAATTTTTCTGTTAAGTTAGATTTATTTATATTAAATTCTAATGGAGCATCGTTTGTAGCAGGGTCAATAGAAGGAACTGTAGTTTGATTTCCAGAACTAACCAATTGATTAGGAGGTATATGAAGTGTAGACGATGGTAGTTGTGGGCCAATAAATGGTTGACATTGCATCTATAAAAATATATTTCAAATATCAATATGATTTTTTTTTCACTTGCTTATTCAAAATGTATTATCCTGAACATTAATCACAATACATTTTTAATTAATATACAATCATAAATTTTTCCAAAATTCTTAAAAGATTAATTTACATTATTTTGATATCCATATTATTTTATTCCAGTTGAAAAATATATATAATAGAACAATTTGGAGATTATAATTAAATATGCTGATGAGAAAACGTAGAATATATTGCACAACAAAACCAATAACTCCCAAAACAATACTTTATGATACCATATACAGAAAAAAAGATATTTGCTTTAACATTAAAAAGTATGAAGAATGTTTTCAATCTATCTTTAATGATAATATTTATCTTTACCTCTTATCTTATATTCATAACTCCTGAACTATTATTATTATTATTTCTCAATCTTAACAGTTTCATTAACTTTAATGAGACTGAGAATAGTTCCATTAGAATAGTCTGAATAACTTAAAATAGTCTATTTTGTGTTCAGAAGTTACAACATATTGTCTATTTTATTACTGATCAAATGTAAAATGAAAAATATTAAATCTCCCAGTTTATTTTATGCACTTCTTTTCCCTTATAACTATCATATATAGGCCCTATACTGTATACCCTAAAATGACATATCAGATTTTAAATTATCTAGATATTGTCTTATCATAGAACAATTAGCTATATTCATCTCAAAAAATAAAAAATATGGAATAAATTAGCTATTAAAATGTTTTATATTTGAGATGTAATGTGCATCAAATATATTTTAAAATAATTATATATCTAAATAGTATCATTTACTAATACAGTTTTACTAACTTGGCATTATTTGAATTTTTGTGTTTTGCTTTTTATTTATTTATTTTCTAACTTAAAGATTTCCGAAGGAATTAATGTCTTTTAATATGTAATTATTATGATATTGTAAATTAATTAATATAAAAAAGTTTTTTTAATTCTTTATTTCAGATTTTCAAATTAAATCACAAATTCTTTACTTAATTCAAAATTTCAGTTATTATATTCTTAATTTAAATTCACACCATTAAATTGTAAACAGGAAATAAATTTTGACTTCTTTAGATACCTTAATTAAGTTCTTGATTTAAACTGGTAAATTTGAAAATATAATAAATATATATGCACTGTATATATGTGTATATATATACAATCATCAACATGTGTCCTTCAGTCCATAAATGGACTGTGCATCTGATAATACTAAATGACTTCTGGCAATCTGTCTTCCATTTCATGTTCTATTTATATATACTTTTATTGACAAATAGCTGAACCATAAAGGAACTGTAGATGTCTTCTCTAGAATTTTCTGGATACTGCATTTTCTATAATAAATATTTATTTTATATATTATTATGTGAGTAAAAACTTGTTTTGCCATATATTTTTAATTGAAATGTAGTCAAAATGTAAGTGAAATGTAAATAAAACTTTAGCAGTTAAAAAAAATTATATTGATATTTGTCATATTTATCATCTTACATTTTTTCCTAGAAATATACCTAAAACTACATATCCAAATCATTTTGATTAACACACTTATAATTTAGCAATTTTAAAGTTAGATTATTGATAAATCAAATAACCTAATGAACATTATTTTAGAATTATCATATTTAAAATTATCATCTTCAGTCTGTATAATGAAAAATCAATAAAATATATCATCAATTTGAAAAATAAATGAGAAAGCTTGTGATCCACATATCGGTCTATTGCCAAACTCAAAATATGAGCTATAGATAAAAAAAAAAAAAGAATTTTATTGAATTATCATCTCAATCAGTAGATATTAGAATATGTTCTATATTTATAAAAAAGGAGCTTTCACTTCAAAAATAAATAAATAAAACTTCTCACAATTATGTTCTGTAGAGAATATCTTGTTATTTTATAAATAAGATGAAATAATATCAAAAGATAGTTTTCCAATTAATTTTAATTAACAAGATTGAAAAATACAGAAATTACATATTACACAAATACTTTTGATTAAGTTATCAAAGTACTTGTGTAATTTATAATTTCTGTGTTTGTCTATCTTATTATTTCAATTAAAAATTAATTAACATAGAAAGAGTTTTCTGCTTTATTTATAAACTATATTGAAACTATGTACTATTCTTTCTTAAGTTGCTACTTATTTATTAAAATCTTAATTATTATTCTATCAAACTTTTAGAATATTTAAATTACAATAAAAAATTTATTTAAAAAGTTTTTCATGTTATTCAAGAACACTTGACATAATTAAACTGATCTACCACATTGTAACATCTAATCAATTATAAATCTAAATAAAGATATATTACAAATATAAAATTAAGCATTTTTGTATGCTATTATCTTTAAAAAATTATCTAGTATTTTAATGAATAAATAAATACTTTTTTGAAATATTATAACTTTGATAATTTAACTGCTTTCTTAAATTTGATTTTGTATTTGTTATTTTAAAACTTTATAGAATTGTTTAAAAAATATTTTATGAAAAGTTTAAATGTGTTTAATATTTAAGTTTATTTACATAATGAATATAAATGAATAATTTTCAAAAAATTATATCTATTATTTATTTATCTATCTATGCACATTATACTTTATTGCATTTATAAACATTATACATATTGCAACAGATATTCTCTGTGCAATTTACAGTTTATATCAAAGATAAATTCAATAGTTATATAGAACATTATATTACTAAGTAATTAAGAGAAAAACACAAATGTTATAAATTTTAGAAGTCAAACTTTTATATTGGGTAAACATTTTTTGAGACCTCTCTATCCCATCATCAGACCCAAATATTCAAAAAACAGAAAATACTATAGTATGTTCTCAATTTCTGTTTTTTGAATATTTGAATTTGATGATGGAGATGAAGAGGCATATGTGTTTTTTCTCCTGAAGTCACATGGAATTGTTATACTCAGAAACTACTAAGTAATCAATAGTTCTTAATGTAATTTTTAAAAAAACTCATCTTATAGTGGCTGTCCACAGCACTCATTTTGTTGAATTTATGTTGACATCATAATATATTGTATGAAAAGAGAGGAGATTGTTTTTATGAATATAAAAGTAAATTCATTTATGATATGATGAAAGTGATTTATCTAATTTGACTGATTTATGCTTTAATCAGAAATGAAATTAATTTAAAATATTTAGACATATTTATCTATTTGATGACATATACTGTTTTTCAATTTATTCAATAATGAAAGACTTATTTAATCAGTCGAAAAGAAAAAAAGTGCTTATGTCATTGTTTTAGTTATGGCAACACAACACTTGGGCAATTTGCCTAGGGGATACCTTCCAGGAGGTCTTTTTAAAGGAAACTGGCCCCTATTTAGGCATTACAGACGTGGAAAAAACCCAGAAAACTCCACGTGGCCAGCCCATCCGAGTGAGGCATGAACCACGACCAAACTCCCAGTGTTCAGGAAACAAAGATCGCTTGGCCACTGATGGACCCCTAATATCATCATTGTCATTGAAATCATGTGTTAATGTACATGATTTCAAATGATACATGATAGGACTTGATTTAGTTATCAGGATTTATGACTTGATATCAATTGTTGAGAAATGATATGACATGACAAAGTGATATCACTAAATTTACTCTGTTAAAGAATTTAGTATGTTTTCAATTTTTGACATCACAACTAATTCTAGGTGACATGTTGTAATTGACATCACTTGATATCATCTGATATCAATTGACATCATATCCAGAAGCTTTTGAAAATATCTGTAATTAATGATAAAATATTTTTCAAGATTTCTGTCTTTTACACAACTGTTACAATTCAATATACTTGGTATCATTTGAAATTGGTGAAATGATATTTTTAATATGGAAATATTTCAAATCATGACAATAGAGATGGAAAAAAAATGCAAACATTATTTTCATTTTTATGCTGTGAGTTAGGTTGACTTTTGTTTTGTTACCAGCCCAATGCTATCTACATTAAATGCTGTCCAAATTATCTCTGTGGTATAGGAATGCAAAGAAGTTTGAATGCACTTTCCTAAATAGTAAGACCAACGTCAAAAAGCAGAACAAATGAAGAAAGAATGAGTTTTCCTGTTGTATATGCAGATATGCAAGAAAGCATGCAGACATTAATTATGTAGAGACTGTTATGTTGGATAGCATTATTTTAAATAGGTATAAAATGTTTAAAATGTATATCAATAACTTCAATAGGAATTTATTGAACCAAATAGATTTATGTCAATTGAAGAATTGAATACATTTTAAAAGTTTAAGAAAATATTGAACAGATTTCCCAATTATGTTATTAATTAAATTTGTTTATAAAATAATAAACAAATTTAATTTTTACAGTTTCATACACAGGTTAATATATCTAGACATGTTTTAGGAGAGTCCATTTTTCAGGAAGAACTATCTGGACTAATAATTCTTGAATTTATTATTATTATTATTATTATTATTATTGTGTTGGGTTTAGTGGGTTATACTCGGCACACACCGGTGGCTGTGTACTATGCCGGACCAGAGTCAAGGCATAGCAACCAAAACAAAACTAAAATTAAATGTGTGTGTAGAGGATTTGATCCCGGGATCTCGAAAATCGGGATCCCGGGATCCCGACTACTTTTCAGTCCCAAAATTTTCGGGATTAAGTTTTCCTAATCCCGAGATTTTCGGGATTGACATCATTTTAAAAAAGTTGCAAAATAGACTGCATGAAGCGAAACGTTCAGTGCCAGTGCTTTTACAGAATTGCTTGCCTATCATTTTAATATAAAATATGAGAAATTTTATTCCAAGCAAGCAGCAGAAATTAACCTAGCGGGCTTGCGATGCTTGCTTGGAATAAAACTTCTTGTATTTTGAACTAAAATGATAGGCAAGCAGTTCTCACTGGGTTACTTGGTAATATACTTCATTT